GTTTGCTGGTTCTACTATGCTGTCACTTCTATTACTGGTCATGCTTCTTTGCTTTTCTCACTTGTAATTGCCCAATCTCATTTAAAGGTGTCTTGAAACAACTCTGTCCTCCTGTTCTTCCTGTAAAGACTTCAAAAAGTAGAGAAGTCCCAGACATTGAATTTTTCACAGTTAAACAAACAAAAAAACCCAGCCCCTGTAAGTTCCTGAAAGTCAACTGTAGCAATAGCTCTTTCCATCTCCAGATGATATTTTCCCAGTCTTGTCCCCTCCTTCCCTCTGCTCCTCCAAGAGCAGCACTACAGCTTTACCTAAAGAGTAATAGTGAATAGGGAACTGTTTGGGAGTAGCCACAACTTGCCACAACCTCTGGATAGTAACCTTTGAAAATTCCACATTCTCCTAATTGCTGCTGTGTCTGTTATGTTGACATGGGGAATGTTGGTCCATGCATGTGGAGTGAATGAATGATGCATTTCTAACTGATTAATTTCTCCTGCCATCATCACCCATTTATGACCTGGTGTCTGAAAGTTCCCGCTGCAACAAAACATAGGTTTTTGTCTTCTAGCCAAGAGCTGGAAAGCTCTCAACTGAAAACCAAAAATCTATATTCTGTGAGTGAGTGGCCATTTTCCTCTTTTCTCACTCCTACCCAACTTGTGTCAGACTTTTCCAGCTCTTTCATGTAATCTTACTTCATCTGTTTTCCCTGTGACTGTGGTAAGATTTCTCTTTCTCACACTGCCTGTAAGCCTGTATGAATTAGTAACCTGTGCCTCTCCCATTGCAAAAAAGAGCAAAGTTCCCCTGCTATAAGAAAATCTCCAGCAGAGGAAAAGCCAAATCTTCTGTCATCAGCACCCTTCATGCATCAAGAAAGGCAAAGTCAGCAGATGGCCTGATTGGGGTGTGTTATTTTCTATCCTCTTTCATTGACTGTTACTACCTGGTTGAGTTTAGAGGTGCTTTGGCATCCCTGGGACCATGGCCAAAATGGAATGAATCAGAAAATACTGGAACCATGCATAATGGGCTCCTTGTCAAGCCACTTTCTGCTAAACTCAGCAGAACCTGAGCATGTGAGAGAACAGGGGGCTAAATGGGAAGGAAATTGCTAACACAGATGTTTAATGTGTGGTTGCAAATAGCAA